CATGCTTGATCAGAGACAATTTGAGGGAGAGCCATTCTTTTATGCCTGTTCATTTAAGTCTTGATGATCAAAATAAATTCATTGGGACCATCCGATCTTTAATTCTCTTGCACAGCAAAGCCTTAAGAAAATTACATTTTGTTGCCTTGCTTTGAAGATGGACTGTAGTAGGCTTGACATAAAAGTTGATTCTGGCCAAGCTGGATGTTCTTAGCATTATAAGCTTTGATTTGGGATGAAAGGATTTATTCAGGTCAGGAATGTTAGAATAATATTTAAGAGGATCTGTATTCTAATAACAGCTTAGTCAAAGGGAAGGACTGCCTGAAGCATTGGCCAGTTATTTGTTTCCCCCAGCAGCTAGCCCAAAGCTCTTGTTTCAATTAAAAGGTAAAGCTGACATATCAACCTGGTTACTAATATGAAATTCTGGAGGAGGAGGACATTTTTGTAGATGATGGAAAAGAGGCTCTTTGGACTAAACTCTTAAGGCCACATTTGCACAACATGTTAAACCACTCCGGCTAGTTAATGTGAATGCATATACTACGTTCTCACCTTAATAATTACATCAGGTTAATCAGAATGCACCACTTCTCTGTTGTTAATTATAATAGAAAAACACGGGATCGTCATCATGTCTGATTAATAGTACCTAGAATGTTAAAGCATGGCCATTCGTTGATTTGTAGATTCTTTTGCACCACACCTTTATCTACTCTAATTTATGTGAATATATAGTTCCTTTAGGAAGTATGACTTTTGAAGATGGAATGTCAGTCACTTCTGGTTGACTGGAAACCCTGGTTTATTAGTTGAGCGCAGATTTTAGTTAAGTGTTAATGAGGAATGATGCTTATCCATGTTTACCTAATCACAGGGAGTCATCCACCAAAGCTGAGCTGTGAATAGAACAGGGGAAATGAGATACAGCATGTGTTCGCTAGTTTAATGTAGGGTACAAATTGTATGCCATTTATATGTATGCTCCAGGGACTTGGAGATGCCATGTTATTTTCATTGCATATGTTCTTCAGCGAGACTGGAAGTTGGCAGACAAGAATTTGGCAATCTGGTAGCTCTTGAGCTCATAAATATTAAAAGGAAAAGATGGATGGGAGCAGAACAAATACCAAGCAAGACTGAATGCATTAATTGGTATGATTAACTGGAGCCAGCCAGTCAGGCTCTCCTATTAGATCCTTCAGTCTCTGTGTCCTCTTTCCACAAGAACATTTCTCTTCATCCTTTTCACTGTTAAAGGATGCTGAGATAGTCAGTGCATGAAGACAGAAAGGTTGACTGGAATAATTTTCCTCCCACTCAGATTATCTTTGCCAGTGAAGCAGAAACACATATACAGACACTGAAGGCCTGTTAACAGGAACGTTCTTAGAGTGAAAAAGACTAAGCCATGGGAGCTTCCAGAGGCTGCAAAAAGGATATGTTTTTAAGGATTTTGAAGTAGTAGAACATGAGGTTCATTCTAGAAACTTATAGAATTGACTAAAGAATCAGTTGGCTCGCAAAATTGTTCTGGAAACAAAGGGTAGTGATGGCTAATAGTTATTTAAATGTTTAGATCCCACTCAAAACCCAAGTGCATGGGTTTATTCCATATTTCCTTTTGGCCAAATTCATCAGCTCTGAGCTGTTAGTGCCAAACTCCAGTGATGTGCTTTCTAAGTTGTGTACAATTCACAAATTGCTCACTTTTACTTCATGTGTTCATAGAGAACTAAGTCCATTGGATTATATCATTTACTTATAAAGTAAGATATACATTATATTACAGATTATATTACATAAAGTGTAATATATAAATATATAAAATATATTTAGATTATACACTACATTATATAAAGTAAGATATAAATTATATTCAAAAGCCAGTGAAATTCTAAGTTGCATTAACACAGGGATAGAATCAAGATCACATGAAGTATTAGTATCATTTTATAAAACCTTAGTAAGACCATACTTAAGAATACTGCATACCGTTTTGGTCACCATATTATAAAAAAGGTGTTGAGAAAGAGTGCAGAAAAAGGCAACGAAGATGGTTAGGGGGCTGGAGGCTAAAACGTATGAAGAATGGTTACAGGAATTGGATATGTCTAATCTAGTGAAAAGGAGTAGAGGTGACATGATAGCAGTGTTCCAATATTTGAGGAGCTGCCACAAAGAAGAGGGCATCAAACTATTTTCCAAAGTACCGAAAAGCAAGACAAGAAAAAATGGATGGAAACTAATCTAGAAATAAGGAGAAATTTTCTAACAGTAAGAACAATTACCAGTAACCAGTGGAATGGCTTACCTTCAGAAGTTGTGGGCGCTCCATCACTGGAGGCTTTTAAGAAGAGACAGGATAGCCACTTGTCTGGAATGGTATAGTCTCCTGCTTGAGCAAGGGGTTGGACTAGAAGACCTCCAAGGTCCCTTCTAACTTGTATTCTGTTATTGGAGCTTTTGCTCATGTAAGAGCGTTTGTCTAAATTAGGGAGTTTCATTGCACTGAGAAGTTGAATTTTCAATCATTTCCCTTAGCTTACTGTTGCTGAGAGCCACATTTATCAGTCAATATTTGTCGGCAATCTGAAGGTTGCAAAGGGCAAAGAGTGGTACACATAGAAATGAGAGGAAGTTTTATTTTTATTGTGTGGGGAAGCAGCTGGAGAAATTTTGCTGGTTGTTTTGTTTGTCTGAAAATCATACTAGTACCATCAGTTTTCAGCAATTACATTTAGAATAGGCCCTAGGAAGTGGTCGGAGGCAGCTTGTAGCCCTAAGACTGTAAGTAACCATTCCTGATCTAAATTGCTGGACAAAAACTTCCAAAACCTATTCAGTAGGCTGTGTTGCTTGTAGTTGTTGGGAATTTGTTTCAAATAACAGAGAACTTAGAAGGTAACGTAAGAGAGACTTTTATTCAATTAGATTTTCTCTGGCCATCATCTGATTGCCATAGCTGTCCCATTCTACAGGCCCATTTTACTTTTTCTATACCATTCCATTACCTATAGCGGGGTAGGGAAATTTGGCTCTTTTATCACTTATGGACTTCAACTCCCAGAATTCCTGAGTGAGCCATAAAAGGTTCCCCATCCCTGGCCTACTGGTTTTTCAGTTGTGGGGGAAATCAATTTTTGACTTGAATGGGACTGTTTAATATACAAATGTAGGACATAAAAGGGATGGGGAACTTTTTATGGCTCACTCAGGAATTCTGGAAGTCCATAAGTGATAAAGAGAGCCAAGTTTCCCTACCCCGACCTATAGTATTATCACTTCTTTTGTGGGTAATAAACGATTCTGAACTGCCAAATTCTTAAACCACCTATTTCTGTGCCCATTCTGTTCTGTAGGTGTTTGCCATTTGTTCCAAAAGTGATGGAATTATAAGTACAGCTTTAATACTATCCTGCCTTCCCTTCCTGTTTTCTGCCATGGTTGACGTGATCCTATATTAAAAAATTCAGGTTCTTTAACAAAGTAATATCTCTACCATCCAGTTACCAAATGTTCTTTTAAGAATCCTCCCTGCTCTATGTAATTATTTCCTGCTTCATGGTTGTTTCCTATATTGTTTTCATAACGATCCTTCCTCTTGCTTGGCCACAGCCTAAGTCTCTTGAATGGAGTATGATTCAAGTCTTTACTTACCTTACACTGTTCGTTCTCTTACAGATATGACAAAAGGGAAGACATCAAACCGGGAGACCCACTTATGTTCTCATATACACATGTACTTATGGAGATGAATTCAGCTCAACTGTCACATTACAAGACAACTCACAAAGTCCTTGCGCATATTCCTGGTACCAGTGGAATTGGATTGAATTTTACTGCACTGCCCCCTATTATTTTAAATTTGAAATACAAACTAGTATTGTTGGAAAAGCTCCCTGTTTCTCTTGGAAAATAAATTTTAACAAGTTTGAAATAGTTTTTGGTAGAGTTGTGTTGCACTAATTCAAAACCTTGACATGTCAGTGAAAGATCAATGCTATTCGATCTTATTCATTTCACTTACGTGAAAAACTTTCATAATAGTATACACTGCATGTAATGCCAGCTATATTTCAATACAAAGTACATACATTCAAGACATGTTTTCATATAATTAGAGAAGAAATATACTAAATAGTTGTTTTTATGTAACACTACATGTGTGTAGTTCAATGTTTTTACATTGTTTTCTACCATGTGGGAAAATAGCATAATGTGCTATTTTGGGCCACAGTAAAAAAAGAATTATGTTGTCAATAAGGGGAAAAAAATCACACACACCTAAAGCTGAATGTCATTAGGATCAACAAAATCTGGAAATTAATGGATGCGATTTCTGTTTTTATCTATTGAGCGGTTTTGCTCATACACAGTATTTTCATAGAAGACAAAACCCACCTTGTCATCCTGATAACATTTCTTGACCAGGGTTCCTTTGTCAATTATCAGCCATGGAATAAACAGTTATGGGAAAGTCAAGCTGGCCTTGAAATGTTAAAGAGACAGCCAAGCATAAATCAAGAAAAATAATACTGGATGTCAAAATATTCCATTTGTTTTAATTCCTTACAGGTTTTTAAGTGATAACTTCCAAATATAGAGCTAAATCATTTAAATCAGCTATACCGACTGTTCTGTGGCCAGATAAAGCAATGGGTTAGAAAGTATAATTGTGGGATGATCCACAACTTGTAATTAAAGATATGCAAGAAAATATCTCACATAACTTTTAAAATCATTCATTTTTAATCAGTGTACCTTGGCATAGAGTGCAAATTGACATAGATGCAAGAAATATCATCCTGTAAAACTGGTTTAACTACGCTGATGTGTTCTCTTATATGCTATTCTACAAGTTTCATCCATTTTGTTGTTCTTTTACATCAAAGAAAATGTCTTCCTTGATGTACAACTTACCTAGTCACAGAAGTTATTATTCAGAAGGGAAGCATTAATTTCTCATAAAAGCCTATGTTCAAAATCTGCAAAAGTTATTGGGTATCATTATCTTCTTTTGTGCAACAGGCCCTGCTAATAGTCAGCTACTGGAACTTCTTTAAAACACTACTTGGTTCCTTCTGGAAGAATGTTCTACCCTTTCTGCAATTGCAACTTGGCAATTATTTAATGTGAATTGACGTGTTCCTGATATGTATAATCCACTATGGTATGAATATAATCTTGTGGCACCTTAAAAACACATGTTCATTATGAAGGCTACACCAAAAAACAACAACAACCCCATCCATGAAAGCTTATAATAAATGGACTGCCATTCTGTAAGGTAACATGGGGGGGGGGGGGGGGGGGGGGGGGGTGGAAAAGGAAGAGAAAACCAGCATATTTCTATAATTATGGTCATAGCATAGTTAAAACTGGTACTCAAAGAAATTATACCTGTGAAATGTTAAATAAAAGACTAGATATAGGAAATCTTTCTTCTAAAATTATATTTTTAGGCCTTAAATGTCAACTTAAGGCATATGAAATAGATGTGTATTTCCTATTACTGAAAATTATTTTTAGCCAGGAGTGTTAGAACTATAAGGTTTGATGCAGTGTTTTTTTTAACCTCATTTTAAGATTTATGTTTCAGAATATTTAGTTTTCTATACCAGCTGAAGTATCTGAATATGTTGTTTTCTATATTATTACATTTTACATTTGAGCTGTGAAGATTATGTTAACATTAGCCAAACTCGAAGTAACCCAACATACCTTGTTACACAGAATGAACTCTTGTGGCCATAAGTGCTGTTACCCAATAGCCTTCCATATTTTCTGTTTTCTTACTTTTTAGCTAGCCAAAATGTGTAACTGTAGCAAATATAAAGTTTCATTTTGTTAGCCATGTGAGACCCACTCTTTATATAAATAAGCATGTGCATTCTATAAACAAACCTATATCTGCACATTAGTGGCTACCACTTTCCCAAATGTGTAAACTAAGTGGAGGAAAGGAGAGCCAGTTTAACCACCACAGCTGTTTGGAACAAGAATATCTCAATGGCATAACAATGGACCATAACTGTGCACCCACTGACCTTATCTCAAGTTGCTCTACAATATACCACTTTCAGTGTCTTCTCCCACTGCTGCCCACAATTCTGACAATTTTAACATGGTCTGGTTTTATCTTAAATTCATTAGAAGAATATAGTTATATTGAGTAAGATTTATGTGGTCACTTTAAAGAAAATAACATAATATTGTACTTATTGAAGATATTTCAAATATATTTGGGCCATACTGCATCATTAAATCATACATCTCACTGATAGATAGAAATACTACAAGGAAATGTTTGATTGAACGACTAGAAACTCGCCTTCTAATTCTTATTCCAAAAGTAATTATGCCCATACACTTTCCAGAATAATTAAGTCCCCATTGCATTCTAAGGGGGAAAAATGGTTGATGTAGACTTGTTCTCTAAAAATTGCAAAGATGTTTAATTTCAGAAACTGAATCCATCATTTATAAATACACTAAAACATAATAAATGCAAAAATTAGGCAGAGGTACAGTACAGTATTTTAACAAAACCATATCCTTCCTAAAAGCTGTAGTTTATTTTATTTTCCCATTTTTTTTTATCAATGCATTGGAGGGATGGGAAGAGGAGGAGGAGAAATATTCTTTTAAAATGTGGACAGCAAATGCAAATACTGGCTATTTTTACTTGCTGTCTGGGGGCTATTAAAATTCTACAATATCCTACTTGGCTGATAGACACTATCAATTATGGTCAGTTCTACTATATAATATTCTATGCAGGATTCCTAAGCGCTGTGCAAATTCTTCAGGTGCATGTGAAGTGCCTGTGAATGCAAGGACAATCTGATGCAAGTCCTGCGTGTTCTGAAGCACCTTTTCCAAAGTATTTGCACAACATTAGAAAGGATATTTACTGAAAATCAACTTCATATAACAAATAATGGAAAAATGCCATATATGATTTTCAGTTACATGGGAAACCTCAACTACATTTTCCCCAAGAAGTAATGTTTTAATTCATTCAATTGTAAAAGACTTGGCATGATGCCCTTTTTAAATATTTTTTATCTTTCAATGCACTGCATTAAATAACAAACATTAATTGGAAATTTTGAAAATAAACACCCAAAAACCTTATAAATACTCAAGCTCTAATTCAGTTACAGTGTAAAAAAAACCTGAATAAAGACCATGAATGGCAAATTTATAGATTACTGTATAACTGGTGTTTCTTAATAACTCTAAGTTTAGTCAAATACTAATTCAACTGCCATCTTTAGTACATACATAGTTGAACAGAAGTACATTAAGCCTGCAGTTAAAACCTGCTAAATAGGAAGATGGCTTCATTTCCACCTTTATATACAGTTTTTTCTGCAACTAAAGCAATGTTCAGCTAATATACAGTACCTGGTTTCTGTTTTTTTTTACATAATTGAATAAAAAGCTACATAATAGAACTTTTTACATCCATTTTGCCATTCTATTCAAAATGTTTTAAAATTTCATTTACAATATTCAATCAAAAGCTACATTGTTTTTAATAGTGGGGACAAAGACAAGGCTAATTCTAATAGGATTTTTTAAAAAAGAAAATGTATATACACTATATCTGGCCTGAAAGACTACTGATAAGGCACATGTAGACATAGAACTGAAAAATATAAGTTTCAAACAAGAGGCATTGATTAGCTGTCATACATGACCCCTAAATGGAGCAATTAAGTTACAAATATAGTAATTATCCAGTGAACAACAAGTTTAGACTGGCAGCCTATTCATTAATTTCAATACTGGAAGTATATCAAAGGAAGATTTACTTTCAAAAATATAAGTTTTTCAAAGTGTTCCATTGTTAGTCTTGAGTGACTAAAGGTGATGCTTTCATTGGATGTACTGAATAATCTCTCTGATGGAACGATGCTTGGAGGACAACCTAGGAATCGAACAGCCAATTTTGACAATACTGGCCAAGATGATTTCTTAAAATTCCAGTAAGTGAGGGGATCACAATTATGCTCAAGCACTTCTTCCTCCAGATATAATAGCACCATTTCCTCTGGCAATTTAGTCTTTTCTTTTGGAAGTTTTGCTTTTTTCATATCTTCCATCAGTGACCAAAGACTATTGTCCCCGTAAGAGATTTTAGATGTTGAACTTATACCACAACCATTGGAAACTGGTTTATTATCATCTGAGGTAGCATTTAGTATTTCTAGCTCCCTGATTAAATCCTGTTTATACTGTTCTGCTTCTTCTTCTGTGAATAAGGAGGTCTTATAACGAGGGTCTAAAAGTGTAGCAAAAATGTATCTTGGATCGTGGAGTATGGAGGATAATCTACTCACCATAGCTTCTTTTAAAGACTTTAGCATAGTATCTATGCCCATTGTTTCCTCAAACAGTAGTTCAATTTTCCGGTTTAGAATATGAATCATTGGAATTACTTGGCTTAAAGTGGACATATGTGTACTCATCTCTCTACTTGCAACTTCAAATGGTTTGAGTGCATGACAGACAGACTGCATCACTTCCCACTGATCACAGCTTATTAATTCCCTGAAGCTACACTCTATAGACATTTCATCAATAGCTCTTTTCTGTTCAATTAGCCTTTCAAGCATATGAAATGATGTATTCCATTTTGATGGGACATCTTGGATTAGCTGATGTTGTGGCAAATGATATTCTTTCTGCAGCTCTGCCAATTTCTCTTTTGCTTTTGGTGAGCGATGCACACGTTCACATATCTTTCTGGCAATGCTAAGCAGGTTCTGAACCATCCTCTGGCTTTTAATAGCTTCATTCACTATGAGATTCACTGTGTGACAGAAACATTGCACGCTTGAATGTTCTCCCTCATTTAAAGTTTTTCCTATTGTCTGATTATCTGTAACAGTAATCCCAATCTGTAGTCCAATTGATGTTATCCAGGTTTCCCACCAATATTCTAGTTGTTTCTGAATGCTGATACCATTATAGTCACAATCAATCTGTGAAACATTTAATAACGCTGAGCAATGGTAATCTTCACACTGAGGCCGAACTCGTGATCCAAATGTTACCCAATGAGCTGTGAGAGTTAGATATTCCCGAGTTTGATTGCTCATCCATATTCCAGAGGTAAAGTGGACTACACCACTTTCAGCTTCTTTAAGATGTGAAACAATTATTTCTTTCACACTATCATACATATCAGGAATCGCGGTATGAGAAAAATAGGATGGTGAAGGCAATGAATACTGAGGTTGCAAGTATTCAAGCAATCTATTAAAACCAATATTATCCACAAAAGAATATGGCTGAAGATCAAGTGCAATCATTTCAGCGACAAGACTCGTAATTTTTTTGGCAACAGGATGTGTGTCAGAAAACTTGTCAGTGGTTTCATCAAAAGATGAAGATCCCAAAAGATCTGTGCTCAGAGGTATGCGATTATTTGTGGAAGAGGACAATACTGGCTCTGAGGCATCTGGTTTTAGGACATGATTATGAAACCGTTGTAAATGTCTTAAAAGGCAACTGGTACCCAAATTGGTTGGCTTTTTCCCTCGACTTATTGTACGTCCACAGTGCATACATATTACTTTAGTTGAATCCGCAGAACAAATTGAAAAATGGTTCCACAGTTTTGAGGTCTTTTTGCTACTAACAGGAAATATGACTTGAGTTTCATTAGTAACCATTGTAGGTAAGTCAGTCAATTTTGAAGCTGAACGTTCTGCAGAAGCCAAGGTAGCATAAGGAGAATTTGCTAAACTGGCATCTATAAAGCTCTTTTGGATTCCTATAACTTCAGGATGCCGCCTGTATAAGTGTCTTGTCAAATAACTTGTGCCTAAATCACCTTTTTTCCCATGGTTTAATATACAGCTGCAATGTCTACATATAACTTTTAGATTATCCCCTGGAGACAAAGAAAAATGATTCCACACTTCAGCTTTCAGCTTTCGCATTATGCGTTTATTCTGATGAAAAACAGAGCCATGTTCCAGTAACAATGGGCTTTTTTCAGGAGAAGAAACTAAAGAAGCTTCCCCTATATCTTCAGATG